AACTGAAAATATATAATAGCCCTTTATTAAATAGCATGATTATATGAACTTCAACTTTTTTTTTTTTATCTCTCAGTATATAGAGGAAACAGGGTACCAATATTTTGCTCTAATGTTTCTTAAGAACAGCTCTGCTCTTTGGTTTTTACTTGATCACAAAAGTCATTAACTTAGTTTAACCCGTACCAGTCATGTCGTTTTTGTCATGAATTGACTTTTTTCTTAAATAGGAAGGTTTAGTGTAGTAATACTTTTGACAAATGGTGTATTCAACTCCGCTAGAGAGTTAAGGCTTCTATTGTCCTTTCCTTTCTCACATATTTTTAAGGGGAAATAAATAGAAATAAAATAAAACTTTTAAACAAAGACACACCATTGGTAGTATAAGGAACTTTCATAATTACTGAATAGATACGAGATGACAGGGATTTACTGCTGTGGAATAGCAACCTAAATGTAATTTTATCCTTCATAGATGAATGTGTGTTTTGGATAAGTGTCCACATTAAATAGAATTTAAAAAAATAAGAACTTGAAATGGATTTCAAACAAAAGCATTTAGTTTTGCTCTCAGCGGGTGTTATTTATTTTAAAAATGAATACATGCATCTATTGCAGAAATTTAAGTCATCCTAGATCCTCTAAATTTGTGTGCCTTAATTCTTGGCTATTTATTTCTAAATTTGCCCGTGACACAGTCTGAACAAAATAGTGGCATTTCCTGATTGTGTAATTGTCTATTTCATATTCTCCAGCTTTACCTCTTGCTCTATTCTTGCCCTCTTTTTGGATTTGGCTAAGGCTTCAGAATGTCTCTCGTTTTTCACTTTCTTAGCTTCTCTGAAGTAAGAGAGCGTACAAAATAAGAGGCATGCTTCTGTTACCCCAGGTGCTGAAAGTTTACTGTAAGAAAACACACAGGAGTAGTTAGGAGGTGCAGAGAACCTTTTCAGCAGCCACCAGGTCATTCTTCAATTTCCCTCAAACCTACCCACCCCCCCGACTTTCCTGATATGGAATGTGTAGCAGGGAGCTGAAACAGTGACTCATCATTGCTCCACATGAAGGAGCAGTTCCAGAATCAGATCCTCTGGTCCTCTCAGGAGTGGTCGTCTTCACATTGCTTTCAGCAGGAACGCCCACCAGTGCTTGGTCCAGTCAGCTGTAACCAGAGCAGCATCCCTCAGAATTCCACCACAGATACGTCCTGAAGACATATCCTTAAGAATAATAGCCTACCTAGAGGCAAACATTAGAAACACTGAGACTCCAAACAGATCTTGGCATCTTTGATTAATACATGAACTACATGTATTAACCAAAAAATAAATGAAATGAAAATTCAGAGACAATAGCGTCTGATTTTGACAATGTGTTTTTATGATCTTTCTCCATGACTTAAAAACTCAGAACTGCCATATTGAGTCAGCTTTTACCTAGGAATTTTTGTGATGAAAAATTGTATGTCTGTTCCTCATTGAGAAGAATTTTAATTTCCTGAGCACAAAAATTTTAAGTAATTATATACTTCATGGCAGAAAATATTTTTAAATTTAGTTTTCAAATAGGTGTTGAGTGCCTACTATGTATAAAACAGTGACAGGTTTTGCAGGTGGTTCAGAGTTCTTTCACTCCACAGATTTTTATTAAGCCATGCATCACCCTGGGATAGGTGCCTGTGATACAATGATAAATGGTGATAAATGGGGAACAAACAGAGATTTTCTTTGAAAGAGCTTGCTAGCTTGCTAGCATGGTTGTGGAGACAGACATGCAAACAGAAAATTACAAAATAACAGCACATAAAAGAGGCATATTACAAAGCCTTGGGCTGTCAGGGAAGACTTTCTGGAGTGGATGCCATTGGAACTGGGCAAATATAAATAGAAATTTGCCAAAGAAAGTATGTTGTTGGTGGGTGGAAATTGAAGCATATTCCAGGTAGAGGGAACCAATCGTGCAACTAATAAAGAATGGTTTGCAAGTGTTTGCCTTATTTGGACAAAATCACAGAGTGATCTGTGCCGTAGAACACTAATCCCATTCATGAGGGCTCTACCCCCATTACCTAATTACCTCCCAAACGCCCCATCTCCAGATATCATAACTTTGGGATAAGGGTTTCAACACAGTAATTTTGGAGGGCACAGACATTCAGTCCATTGCAGTATGGCTTACTCCACTTGGGCCCCGTTAGCCCTCAGTTGCTCTCTTTGTGAACAATAGCAGCTCCAGCCTGTATCTTCACCAGTGTGGGGTCAGTAGAAAAGACAGCCCACTCTATGGTTATGTGAATAGATAATATAGATTGGCTCTGACTGGCTCTGATTAGGTCACATGCCCATGTGTGAAACAATCACTGTTGTCTGGGGGATTCTAGGTACTGATTGGTCAATCTAGAAAACATCTTCCACCTTAGATCTGAGGCAGTTGGTGCACTGATAGCCAGACTCTAAAAATAAAAATTTAAAAAAGACCTTATTTGTAGCATTTACTGGTTTCTATGACTGATTTTAAGCTGCCTGGCTTGCACAGCTCCTGAATGTTTAATAGTCAGCTCTTGCAAGCCAGTTCTAGCAGCTCCAGCACATCATCACTGAGCAGAGCATGGAGCTCCAAGGAACAAAGGCTACTGGTGAGGGAGGGAATGGTGCTCTAAAATGAAATCAGAATACTGTCAGAAGAGGAGAGGTAAGTGGTAGGTGCGTGGTAGTGAAAGCCATCCAATAGATGTACAAAATAGTTACCACTTTGTATCACCCCTCTCCTTGTAAGAGGGCAACTGTTTCATTGCACTGTCATTAAGTGTAACTTTAAAAAAGATAGGACAGAATGGATATATCATTTTAATTTTATAGTTACTTTCCACTTTTGTGGGTGTGTTTGTTGATCTTTACTATTGTTGTAGGTATTTATCCTGTAATTAATTTAATTAACATATAATATAACAATTAGTAATGGAAATTCTAGCACAGAGCACAGCTTGGTAAATGTTGAGGTGAATGTTTTATACAAAACTCTAATTCTGTATAAATTAGGGTAACATTAGCTGCTCTAATAGGTAAGTCCTAATTCACAGTGAGTTAACACAATAGAATTTTATTTCTTGCTCATGTCAGAGTCCCATATGGGTATTCTTAGTTAGGCATCTTCTATGTGGTCACTTAGGGACAAAGGCTTATTCTGTCCTATGGTTTTTCTTTCCTCTGGAGCCTGGTAGCCATTCCATTCAGTGGGATGGTGGCAAAAGAGAATAGAAGACAATATGCGGGAGATTTTTATGGGCTTGGAAGTGCAACATTCCATGTGCTTGCATTCCATTGACTAAAACTCAATCCTATTGCACCAACTAATTGCAAGAGAAAAAAGAAAAAGGATTTCTTGAACATTTAGCTAGTTTTCACCCACATTTCCATACCTGAAAAGGAGAAATCTTTTCATAAAGTCTGGTTCTATTCCCTAGTTTTACTACTTGAGTATGTCTAGGAATAAATTACCCATGTCACTTGAATTATTTATGGGATTTAAATAGAGAATATAAAATTTTAAATATTAATAAGAAATACATAGCTTTTTGTAAGATCAGAGTGGTGGGGAAATGATATTAAGTAGTTACTGAGTAGTCTTTAGACACTGATAAGAAGACAGTGGAAGTTGTTGGACATGACTTTGACATGTAAACAAGTCTTGAATAGGTAACATTCATTCAATGTATAAGAAAATTCAATGTGCAAAACCCTGTATAAGGAATTTATAATCGACTCAACCAATAAATTTGTTGACTTATTAGAGTGATATTTTTAATAGAACATTTCAATGAAAAGGCTACCTATGGATTGCAAAAAACATTTACAAACTATATATGATTGATTATAAGGGTTAGTATTCAAAATCTATAAAGAACTCATCCAACTCAATAGAAGAAAAACAAATAACCCAATTAAAAAATGGATAAAGGCTCTGAATAGACATTTTTGCAAAGAAGACATAAAAATGGCCAACAGGTATATGAAAAGGTGCTTAAACATCTCTAATCATCAGGGAAATGCAAATGAAAACCACTATGAGATACCGCTTCAAACCCATTAAGATGACTATCTTCAAAAAATAAAATGAGATAAGTATTGGTTAGGATATAGAGAAAAGGGAACCTTTCTACCCTGTTGGTGGGAATGTAGATTGGTATAGCATTCTGGAAAACAGTATGGAATTTCCTAAAGAAATTAAAAATAGAACTACCATATGACCCAGCAATTCCTCTTTTGGGGATTCCTAAAGGAATTGAAATCAGTATATCTCAGAGATATCTGCACTCCCATGTTTATTGCACCATTATTTACAATAGCCAAGATGTGGAAACAACCTAGGTGTCCCATCGCATTGATGGATGAATGGATGAAGAAACTGTGATATATGTACATTGTGTGTGTATGTGTTTAAGTGTACATTGTATATTTAAATTATATACATATACAGTGGAATATTATTCAGCTTTAAAAAAAGAGATCCTGTCATTTGCCACAACATGGATGGACCTGGAGGGCATTATGCTATGTGAAATAAGGTAGACACAGAAAGAAAAATATTGCACGATCTCACTTATATGCAGGAGCTAAAAAAAAAACCAAATATACAGAGATAGAGAATAAAACCGTGGTTACCAGAGGTGGGGGTGGAAGTGGAGGGAAATGGGGAGATGCAAACCAAAGGATACAAAGTAGCATACATGTAGGATGAACAAGTCTAGAGATCCAATGTACAGCGTTAATAATACTGCATTGTACTTGGGATTTTTGCTAAATGAGTAGATTTTAGCGGCTCTCGCCACACAAAAAACGTGTAACTATGTGAGATGACAGATATGTTAATTTGCATCACTATATTATTTTACTGTCCATAGATATCTCCTGACATCATGTCGTTTCCTTTATGTACAATAAAACTTACAAAAAACAAAAACAAGACTATTTTAGCTCTTTTTCTTATTTCTACCTGCCCAGGTGATTAAAGTATATAGTGAAGATGAAACCAGCAGGGCTTTAGATGTACCCAGTGACATAACGGCCCGAGATGTTTGTCAGCTGTTGATCCTGAAGAACCATTACGTTGATGACCACAGCTGGACCCTTTTTGAGCACCTGCCTCACATGGGTGTAGGTAAGGATACGGACACATTGTCTCACATCCTCGCTTTTCTGTTTTTTATAGTATAGATCATATGGCAAAGATTTTCTTCAGATGTATAAAAATAGAAAGGAATTATGAATTGTCCTTTTAACTTTTTATTTTTGGTTGATGGTTGAGAGACAAAGAAAGTAGCACAAAATGGAAACAAGAATAAAAGTGTTATAAATTTACCACCCCTGTTTGTTTAAATAATGCTCCATGGGAATTTTGGAACTAAGACATAGAGTTCAAATTGAAGAAAAGATAAATTTCATAATAATCTTTAGTAGCACAATGCAAACTTTTTGAGAAATTAAAAAAATAAGCTGTTGTTCAGACTGCATTTTGAGTTGATTAGAGCGGAGACAAGTACTGGTATCCATTGTGGTAGTTCTCTTTATGGGAGTGTACAACCTATGTTTTTCTTGAAGAAATAAGTAACTCCTTCGCATTTTAAAGACATACACATGAAGAGTGACCTTTAAAAAATTTTTTAATTGGAAATGCATCTTCGTATTATAAACTGTGGAGGGTTTTAAAAAAATTATTTTAATAAGTTACAAAGAACTTACTCTTCTGCTAGAGTAAGGATTTGTCAACAATTTTGTTTCCTGCTTTCTTATTTTTATAGTTTTGGTGTTAAAAAACATGCTTACATATAAGTGGATGAGAAAGGAAGGAGTTTGTTATAGCGATGACATTTGATTCTTTGAGCTCGGTATTAGATTCCTGTGGCTGCCATAACAACCACAAACTTGGTGGCTTAAAACAACAGAAATGTATTGTCTCTCACTTCTGGAGGCTAGAAGTCTGAAATCAGTATTGAAATTAAGGTGTCAGCAGGGATGTACTTCCTTTGGAACCTCAAGGGGAGAATATGTTCCTTGCCTCTTCCAGCTCTGTTGGCTGCCAGCATTCCTTGGCTTGTGGCTGCATCACTTCATCTCTGCCTCTGTGGTCACATTGCTTTCTTCTCTTGTGTCTGTGTCAAGTCTTCCTCATTCTTATAAGAAGAGTAACATTTAGGGCACACTCAGATAACCCAGGATAATCTCATTTCAAGATCCTTAATTGAATCATATCTGCAAAGTCATTTTTTTCCCTTTTGCCACATAATGACATTCACAAGTTCTAGGAATTAAGATGTGATTATCTTTTGGGGGCTATAAATATTTAAGCTGCCACAAATTTCTTTGCAATATATGTTAAAAAAAATCTTTAGTAATAAATCATCAAAATCACTTACAATAATTTTTCAGTGATAGTTTAATTAGTCCCTTTAATAGGTTTAAAGAATTGTGAGGCTTTTATATATAGTCATTAGAGTCATTCACTTTCTATAGCTGCCGATATATAAAATTGTCCCTTTATTTGGTGCATTTGAGAGCTATGTGCCAAAGTCAGGTTCTGTTTGAATGAGAGGTTTGCCTTTCTCTTATGAAAGGGAATTGAAAAATGATGTTGTCAGAAAAGGTGTGTTCTTAGGAAGATTCATCTTTAAAAGATTCTGGAAAGTGGTTTTGCTTAACACTACCTGCATCCTCTGAACTGTGTAGATGGTGTCTGTACTTCCAATTAGATGACTACTGTCCTAGGACATGTCTGAACCTCAGGGAGAGGACAGAGTGAAGCCTGTGGAAAAGAAGCTGGAGTTGTTCTGCAATTTCCACAGGGATTCTGAACCTGACCATCTCCCAGTTAAGAGGTGATGAGCTACAATAGTGCCAGCTGATCTTGACAGCTCAGCATAGATCATTATAAACCTGCCAAGAAAGCCTGATTCTGAAGGTACATAAGACGAGCCAGTATGACTTGCTATCCCACCTTCTAGGGCAGAAAAAGCTCATCGTATATTTTCTTCATTGCCATTTGTGACTAATTTAACTTGTACTCATAATAATCTCCCAGAAGTATGGTGTTAATTCTCAGTAGATTCTGCCATATTACAAAATATCTCATTTACTTAAGCTGGTAGAAATATAGCTCTTAATTAGCATAATATATCATTACAGTATTTTATGCTCTTAAATTTTTCTTTTGGGAGAGGCTTTAAAAATATTTTTTGTAATAGTCACTACAATTTATTAATATCTCCAACAAATAGCTTTGAAGTTCAGTAATAAAAATCTACTCTGTAAATCAGGTAGCAGTTTTCACTGAGAA